GCAATTGGAATGTAATAATCATGCATTATGTGCGTAATCAATATTCGTTAGGACCTGAATGATGTTGAATTAGGTTCTATGCATAAGTATTACACACCTATATATATATATATATATATATATATATATATATAAAGTTTGTCAAGTTTTCTTGTGAGACGATGTTCTGACGGTGGTGATCAAACAACGAAAGTCAGTTTCTTTTTCACGGCGACGTATCTGCAATATATAGAGAAAGTTGCCCCACTAATGCTGCACAAACTCCATCTTTGACTGACCCTGAATGTCGAAGCCAGGCCGCAGATGTTCTGGTTTTGCAGGGGCCAAACGGGCATTTGAGAAGTTAATTAAAAAGGAGGTAAAGTATCAGGAAGTAATAGTGTCTGTAGCTACGACCTTCCCTCTTAGAACGAACTTTAGCACATTATTTACCATTCCCAAAGGGAAGAAATGGCTGTTATTTCTAACGACCAGTAAAAGGTTTCACACTGTGGGAAGGCACAACCATGAGGATGGGAATTCACCACCGCGACCAGTCCCAGATGCACCTGGTAACTTGACTAAGCACACAATTAGGAAAGAATGGGTTATCGCCTAAAGGTCAAAACTCTTAGACCAGTGTCCTGTACGTTAGCCTGGTAGCAACCTAATAGAATGAAGTAATCGATGATTGAGGTAAGTTGAAGAGTGATTCATACTCCCTGTTAAGCTGACACCCATGATGCAAATAAAACCATAAAATGTACAAAACATAAATTGCTGGGGAGAAGGCTCGTATGAACAAATCGGGAAAAACTTCAACACTAAGTGCGACACAGTTTCTCTCAGAATGAAAAATAGTATGATTCAGTACCTTACGTCAGCATCCAAGTTCAGTTCAGTCAACAAAGTTGGAGTTGATTTTTCGGAAATACAATTAGGCACAACGCTGGCATTTCGCAAACCATACTGAATTGCTAAACCAGCTCATGAAGAAGAAGTATACTTCACGAACTTCCAGCAGAGTGAAATTGGAAGGCTTTTGTATATTGTTTTCCAAACTGATATACGTGTCGTTAGTGACAGTGGTGCAAGGGTACGTCGACAGTGTTACCAACATCTGTTGAATAGTAGACTGAGAAATGTTTGATCAAGTTCATCAATGGTGAGTATCAATATGCGCTGTCATAGTTGAAAGAAATGGGTGACGACACCAAAAAATAGCTGGGAGACTCCGTCGCGGTTACGTGAGAGTGAGTGCCTGGAGAGACAAATTAGTAACCGATCGAAAAACATCAGTTATCATTATTCTTCTTGCAGGTTTCTGTGTTAATACATTGAACGAACATGATTACGAAGAATTCTGGATGCCACTTAGTTGTAAAACAAAAAGGACAGTGACAACCGGGTCGAACTATTTGCTGGGTTACATCATCCGACTGATTAAATCACGTGCCATCAAGCAGTCACAAGAGAACGAAAATTTATTTATGTCTGGTGATTTAAGAGAGGCGGAGTGTGTACATTATTGTCACATTATAGTGCAAGATGCTTCGAAAGTAATGTTTTACCACACGTTTCTGCGCGACGAGGAGGTGAACCATAAAGCCTAGAGAAATTACTGTAATTCACCAAGGATCAAGTCAGGTGGCACTTCCTATTTAGCCCAACTCGAATCGGACAGAAGGCTACCATACGACGCA